GAGACAACTTCAACGGCAACACAAATAGCTAGCTGTATTCATGGTATCCCTCTAAGAGATCCAAACACTAACTCATTTGGTTCGTCTATCAATTAGTTCATACATTGTTGTGGAAAAGAGACAGTTCAAAGTTTAGTTTGTTGCATTTTTTAACATGATTTAAAAATCTTCTGTGCCTTTTGCAGTTTAGTTGGAGCCACAATAATATCAATTGGGTTTTATACTGTAATGTGGGGTAAAGCAACAGAAGAAGAGGTGGTTGAAGATGTCCCTAGCCACGAAACACCGGCTACACAGAATGTTCCTCTCTTGCAAAACTATGAAACCAATAGAGTTGAAAAGAAAATGGATGCAATTGTATAAAAGAAAAACAACTCTTAACATATGTTTGTGGCAAATGAGTATCTAAATGTCTAAGGGGACATCATATATAAGACTATCAAAAAAACAATTCAACTGAATGAGAATAGTATCCTTTTCACCATGCAACAAACAACATAAAATTTAGTTTTCTACATAGAAGGTAGCAACCTCTGCAAGTTGTGGGGGTGGGGGTATCAACATGTACAAAAGTGATTGAAGATTGAAGACAAGGGAGCAACAATATTGTCTATTTTACAAAAGGCATGTGGGAAGATTCTATAAATAGAACAACTCTATATGCAGAAGGACAACAAAATTCATATGTTTCTAATGCAAAACTCTGCCAAAATGAAAACTCTAAATCATTTCCTCCCCTCTTGTACATAAATTGAAGTAAGGGAACTGTTGTCTTGTAAACAATCATTTGATAATATGCTTTATATTGGATGTACAATTCATTTCAAAGAACTTCAAAATATCATTGCTGAGATTCAAGGGTACCCTGTTGTATTTAGTTAAGATAAGCTAGTGGAGGCGAACACAACCGCCTTCAAACAAAAAAACAAACTTGTGAATTTAAGAAGAGACTCCGTCAAGGAAGAGTCCACTTCGGCCTTCACCAAAGGTCAAAGAAAAGGTTCTACCGCATCTAAGACTGTGTCAACGCTATCCCAGACCTGAGACCATAACAGTGGTCTATAGTTAGCCGTTACCTAATCAATTAGTTTATGGAGCTTAATCAATTAACTATTGCAGAATTGCACATAATTTGATTACTAACAAAAGAATCTAACTGCACAAACATTGTCCAAATCATTTAAGGTAATCCAATACACACTTATAAGCACATTTAATACGCATATACAACAAGTAGAGTGTTACACTTTCATTCTTGTATTCTTCATTTGCAAGTTTGTTTTAATTTTGCACTATACCCCTTTCCACCTTTGATCTTCTTAACTCCAAGTCTCTTATTCTCTCTACTGTCTTTAATTTTGCAATTACCTTTATCTTTTTGTTGCTTAAAATCCATGAGCAAGAAGTAGTTTGACAACTCAAGAATTGTTTCATTGAATCCTAATCAATTGAAGGTTCAATTCCCTATAGATCCCAACAAAATATCTCACTCAAAGAAGTCTATGTAACACTTAATGGATTAATTCATTCAAACTCGGTTCAACCTAGACATGATCAACACATTAGAAGAGAAAAAAGGAGTTAAGATAAAAGGCAAGACCCTAAACCCTGCTTGGGTGGTGTTTTCCACCTTGCTTGACGACAAGAACAAAGGTCGGGGACTTGGACTTGCCTAAGAGTGCCTTAAACCTTAGGAAAATTGAAGCACCTCAAATCAGCTCCCTGCTTCCTAGCCCTTGGAGCCTATCCCAGGGTGCTTTGCCTCCCATAATCCCACCATTGATAACTTCTCCAAGTGCCCATACCCTGTTGTTGTGTTATATTCTATTTGCATATATTTATTTTAGAAAAATGTAAAGATTGCTTTCTTTTAATCCAAATTTGAATTGATATTAGCTTAAATTTGATTTAATTGAAATTTGAACCAGAATTGGTTTAGATTTTATTTATGACTATAACTCTATTATGATTTGTTTTAGGAGAAGTTCATATTTGATTTATTTCAAATTTGAAAACAATATCTGTTGTGATTCAAATCTTATATTAGTTTAGTAGAATTACTTTTGTCTAGGGGTTGAAGTTTCTGTAAATTATAATCTTCGCAATACAATCGTTGAGTTTCTTTTTTGGTTGTTTTCTTTCACAATTCTACATAACCAGCTCCCCTAAGAGTAAAAGTAATTCTTCTATGCTGGTTAGTATTTAGAAAAATGAAATGCAATTCCAATAGGTAACTAATTTACTACCAAAGTACCATCTATTTGTCATGCAGGGAACCGAGCAATCAAGTTCTGTAACAAGCATATAGCTTTACCTAACAGTATAACGTAAACTTCATTTTTAAGTCTCAGTATTTTGCTAGATTTGCATTTTAGAAGTGATCCATAATTTCCAAAAAAGTAAAGAAAAACAACTACTATCATTCTAAAATGAATATTTCTGCTAAGTTTGTTCTAAATTTTGAAGCAGTACCTACATTAATTCTTGATATTACATATCTAAATGAAAACAGGGGAAATAAAAAATGGGCCTAAATTTTAATAAGCCAGTAACATGCTTACGGTCAATTTAAAAAGACGGGGAAAAGCTATGAGAACTTTGAAGAATATATCAGCACATATTATCTTGCACTGAAAACTGGATCTTGATTAGGTGACGGTTGTGTCTTTCGAGTGTATTTGAGTAGTAAACCTTCAGCAGAAAGACCTGGTACATTCAGATCCCTGAAACAATGAAAAAGAGAAAATTGTGTAAAATATATGTATATCAATAAAATAAATGAATTTTAATGTACCGAAGTTACATGATATCTTAACCTGATATAGGGCTGCAGATCTTTCCAATCCCATTTTGCACGCTCTCTGAAAAGAATGGAGAAACGCTCAGCTGGAGTGGAAGGCAAAGAAGAGACACGGAAGGCACGAACCCATGTCTCAACTCCAAGTTTCTCTGTCAATACCTCTCCTTCCATAAGATCAAAAGATGGCTGCATTTTATCTGGAGTCTTCTTCCTCCATTCTTCCATAAAACTCTCTAACTTCCTCTTACCTCCTTTTAGGATTTCTCTTGCATAGTGTATGCATACCCGCTTCTCATCCAACTTCCACACACAGCTTTCCATGGAATCATTTTCTTTTACTTGGTTGGCATATAAGTGCAAGCAATGCCTTGCAAGAACCATCGGAAACCCGTCTGATTCCAGCATATTCACAACTTCATCTTCATTTAGAGCATTGAGTGACCGGTCATTCAACACTGAATTTTTCAAAAGCACTCCCAGAATCATGTCCATGTAACTCTCATCAACTAATCTCCAATACCCATTAATCTCCACGGCAGAAAGAGCCTGCAATCCAAATCTTAATTCCTCGTCACTAGCTTGAATATTGTCTATAAGATCATTCCAGTTATATAATCCCGCTCTTGATTCCTGATTCTCTTCTAAAATTTCCATGTCATTTTCATCAAATTTGTAAGTGTTCTCTGAAAGAAGCAATTTGAGTTTATCAAGTTTGGGGGACACCTCAATAAGCTCCAAACTACCAGGTACGACTTTTATTATACGTGCAACAGCTTTCTCGTCAGTATTGTTAATATCATTCTTCTGCTGATTTTCATACGATTCTGATTGATTTTCTGGTGGTACAAGCAAAACAGAATTGGAAGTTCCAACAAATTTCATAGCATATGTTTTTGATTGAGTACAAAGAACCGCATCCTCGTCAGGCTGTCCTCTTAAGACCATCCTAAATTAGAGAGAAATAATGTAACACAAGTAGGGAAAGAGAAAGGCAGCGAAAGAGTAACAATTAGAATTAATATGTATATATTGTAATTACATGTTGATTTTAAGTACCTACGGTAACTAGGATAACAATAAATCCTTATATTATGACTCTTTGTATGTGACTCATACACAAGACCCCATGAAATGTCTCTCATCCCTCTTCTCAATATGAAGATATGATCCAAGCTAGGGTAAAATTGCTTTTCTGATCTTCCATGAGTTGTTTTCTTGTTTTTTTTAGTGAAGTTCATGAAGAGCAGTGAACATAAGTGCTTAAACAATAAGGATGAAGAAAGGACAATGAGAAACGTTCAATGCAAAAATATATTAGAAGATGGTGAAAAAATTGCAAACTTATGATTATAAGAAAGTAATCACAAACATGAAAAAGAAGAGATGGAGAATGGCACCAAACTCAAGGAGTGATAATCAAAATGAAGAATCACCACAAACTTAAAGAGAACCTTTGATAAGAGTTAACTATGGTTCTTAACTAAGAACCAAAAAGATGCAAAATGTTCTCCACTTACTCCAAGAGTAATATTAAAACTACGATTAAAATTAGTTCTGACAATGTTTACTAATTACTTCTAACTAGTGAGGTCAGACCTCCAATCCTTCCCCTAATGTTGTGTACATTAAAATGATATTTTAATCCCAAATCGCAAAAAAAAAAATAGTTGTTTGTTCAAATTCAGTTGCAATACAGCGTTGTCGTGCCACTATTTGACAACATTTTGTACTAAACAGCACGTCGCATAACAATAGCAATTTGTTCAAATTCCTATAGCTACTATTTGACAACTTCCGAATAACATGATGCAGATCAATACGTTATACATACCTTTCATTCAAAACATCCGGGATCAGTTTCTCATCGAGCTCTAGAACAATGAGATCATCATGAGGTCCAAAATTCGGGTGATATGCAATAGAAATCGAAGATCCAGGAGGCATATTTTTAAGTGTTTCTGCTCCTCCTCCTCCTCCTCCTGAAATCTCCTGTGGTGGTTCCATTTTCACCCTTATACTAAACATAAAGCATTAATAAATTAATAAAAATCAAAATTAAGATCTCTCCGTAAACTATGCATAATGCTATAAATCAGCAAAAATAAATAACAAAAAATTTTATATGCATCATCACAGTATATATATTCGGTTCCTTTACTACTAATCTTCTAGATGATTCTAGAACGTTTATCTTTGAGATTCAACAAACGCTATGATACAATTGCACAGCTAAAGCGCGCAATTGCGGAATCGTGCCGCGGAGTTTAGATCTGATACGATGCCGTTCGCATGGGCGGCTATCGCGGCCGCGATTCGCGCCGGGATGGCATCCTCGCTGGCAAATAGGAAGGAAAATTGGAAGTAGAGGGAGAACCTGGAGTCTGTAAAGGTTTCCGGCGGCCTTTTCCTTGCGACGGTTAAGTCCGGCTGGGTTTTCCGGCGATGGTTTGGTTTTCGAGGGTAGTAGATGACTTCGAATTGAACTTGTTTTGTTTGTGATAAACAAGGGCAAAATGGCGCGGTTGCGTTTTGTGCTTTTGGAGGGAGTTGCTGAATTTTGTTGTTTTAGATTTTTATTAATTACAAGGGTCATGATTCATTTACATGATCCTTTTTACTTACTTACATGATCCTTTTTACACGATTCATTTTAGCGTTCTTTAAGTTATTTAAGTGTAATAACGTGATTTTTTAAGTTTTTTTTTTTATAATAATTTGTTTCTTTAATATTTCTTTTTGATTGAATTAGAATTTGAATTTATATTTTTTTGGATGATATTTTATGTATTTAAGTAATTTGTTTCAAGTTTGTATTTTGGATGATTGGTGTAATTTAAGATTAAAAAAATGGATAAAAAGGTTTACATGCACATTTTAGTTAATCTAATGGACTCACTTGTACTAAAAAAAAAATTAAAGGACCAGTTTATTACAATTAAATAACTTAAAAGACCTCTGAAGTAATTATATCTATTTATAAAAAATTAATATTTTAAAAATCGAACCGGAAAATGAACCAATAAAAGATGTAGGCCAAGGTTCAATCGATTCAACTGTTTAAACCGTAGATGAACCGCATTTTAAATTTAAACTAAAAATTTAAATAAATATATTATTAAACATCTTAATAAATTATTTTATATCATAATTATAAATTAAATAAAATTTGCAAACAAATATAATAAATAACCTTACAAAAGAAGAAAAATGCAATACCAAGAAGAAATCAGAAAATTAATTAAGGGCTAATAATTATATATTTGTCTTGATTTTTTTAACTCACATAACCTGATTCAACACTAGTACGGAAGCGTCATTTCTCCAATTTAATTTCTTCATCACCGTAATTTTTCTCATTTCTTTCAAGATCAACATCACTTATCTCATGTCCACAAATACTATATTATTTCTTCTCCATATATTTGTATTTATATTGTCTCATGTCTTTAAATTTTATTTTTTATCTTCCATATATATAATTTTATCTGTGTGTTATAATCATTTTTTTAGATTTAAATAAAGAAAACAAGATAATTAAATCATAAAAATTATCTTTAATTTTCTGAATCAAATGGTTTAATAAAATAGGTCCTGATTATATGATTATTTCATTTTTTTTACAATTGAAATGATTCTGCGATTATTTTAATCCAAACCGAACTGGATTAGATAACAGTTCAAGGTTGAATCGATTCAACTAGACGGTTCAATCCGATTTTTAAAATATTGATAATTTTTAATTATTTAATATTTTTAAATTTAATACAATATTTATTTTGTCGATATTACTTTTAATTATTTATTATATTTATTATAGAAAAAATAGGAAACAAATAATATTTTAAAGTAATACGAAGAAAAAATAAATAATTAATCATATCAAAACTAGTTGTGTTAATCCTAAAGAAAAGTAAAAGTATTTACTAGCTTGGACATGTATTAATCAATGAAAGGAATAAAATAAAATAAAAATATATACTTATTTCTTCAATGTGGTTAATTTCCTTCCTTTTAATCTCCTTTTAATGTAGGTGATAATAAGCCCAATTCGAGATTGAGTTCTCCTCCGAAAAGAAGGAAAAGATGATGAAAACATGGAACACTAAGACATAAATAAAATATTCAAAACATAAGAGATTATATAACAAAAGTATGAGTTAGAAGAGGCAATTGTGTTCTAATTTAATTCATGATCAAATCAATTGAAGCAATTGAGCGTGTTGTGAAACCTGAATAGAGTATTTGGGAAGGAGATTTTCTCATTGGTTGAATTTGACCTAATGTTTAATATATATATATATATATATATATATATATATATATATATATATATATATATATATATATATATATATATATATATATATATATATATATATATATATATATATATATATATATATATATATATATATATATATATATATATATATATATATATATATATATATATATATATATATATATATATATATATATATATATACTTGTCTAGAGTTGTACCATAAGCTATGATATTGAGCTATACTAGATTGTTGATTAACAACAAATTTAAACTAACTTTCTAACTAAATTGTAACTACAATGCAACTACTTACAATTTTCAATTTACCTTGTCTTCATGCTTCATTATGTCTCAACAAGTTGAAAGTTGGTATACGTCAATCATTTTCAACTTAAGCAAAAGAGTTTGAAATGGTTGGGGTGTATGGAATTTGTGAAGAAATCGGCCAATTGATATTTGAATATTATTGGTAACAATTTCACGACTCATATTACTTGCTTTTATCAATAAATGTGTCAATCTATATCAAGGTGTTTAGTTCTTTTGTCAAAAATTGGGTTACCCGCCATGTGCAAGGTGCTTTGATTATCATAATATATCACAAGTGTTTTAATGCATCTGACTTTAATATTATTCATGAGGTAGAGCAGCCATTGTAGTTCATATGTCACAGCGGCTAGTGCTCGATATTCTACTTCAGATGATGATCTTGACATTGTTAATTGCTTCTTGGTTCTCTGTGAAATCAATGACTTGCCAAGGAAGAAACATTGTCCTGAAAAGGATCTTCGAGTATCCGAACATCCGATTCAATCTAAATCAAAATGTTCATTCAATTGAATAGTAGAATCTCGAGGGAACATTATGCAACAACTAGGACATGACTTGATGTATTTTAGTACTCTATAAATTACATTAAAACAGGTAACTATTGGAGCATACATAATTTGGCTTAGTTATTGTGTGCATAATGTAATGTCAAGTCTGGTTGCACCTGTATATAGCAATTTACCTATAAATCATTTTGAAGAGACGAAGTGAATGACACTGGTCTGAGCTTCTAATTTTACAGGTTGCAAAACCTGTAACTCGCGTGTTGCTGGAGGTTGAAGATGATTAGTGTGTCATCTCGGAACTAATGATATTGTGTCACCTATTTTTTTCAAATTTGTTTTAAATAATTGATCTGGTGGTTTATTCACTAATGTCCATATCATGCACAACGTGTCTCATCCTTTGGATTAGCTTACTAACACATTTTGACATTGATCTGGTCTATATTATTTTGATATTATTTTTATTTTCTGATTTTTTTATTTAATTGTTTTAAACTTCAAAAATTCATAAAAAATTCATTTCAACTTCTAAAATTGTGAAAAAATTATCAAAAATAATTTTGATTTTTTTCTTTCTGATTTTTATCTTTTCACAACTTTATTTTGTGATTTGGTATTTTTTTATGATTTTTCGCTTTATTTGACTTGTTTTAATTGTTTAAAAATACTTTTCTTGATTTTTAAATTATAGAAAAATTATGGAAGGATCCAATGACCTCTTGAAAAATATTGGTGACCTTATTTTATTTTTATTTCTTATTTTACTATTTTTCATAAATTTTCGTTTGTTTTGCTTATTTCTTTAAATTTTAAAAAAAATAGTTTATGACTTTAAAAAATTCTGAAAATTTTTGTCAACACTTATTGACTCGTGTTTGACTTTTGATATCTTTTTAGGATTTTTATTTAGCATTATAATACATGTTATGTATTTATACCAATTATTTTCTTTTTAAATCATAAATTTTGTTTTATATTAAATATATTTTATTATTATTTTGATTGGTCCCGATTTGGAGACACTTGAGTGTTTTTTTTGGACAAGTTCCTCAACCTCATTGGATCTTGAGTGTTGATGGGTTGAAAAACCAAATCCACCAAAATGGATGAATAATGTTGATGATATTTGAAACCCTAGTTTCATCTGATACATCCCCTTCCCTCTTTATCTTATCTCTTTCTTGTTTTTACTTGTGCTACATGTTTTTGGAGAAATATCTACATAGCATTTCTCGAACATGTTGGTACATATATTTCTATTGACCGGCCTCAAAATAGGTGTGACTTCTATATAACTCCAGTTATGATTGATTAACATAGCGTTAAATTTGTCCCGATTCGAAAAATAATCATTTGTGGCCCAAACTTATGTTTGCAAGCCCAAATATGTTTATTTTGAAACCTTTGATCCAATAACTTTGAAGTTCATTGTTAGGAGGCTTTGATTTTATCAATCCTCTAATGAAATTCATGAATTTTGGTCTAAATGAATCACTTAAACATCGTTGATCATATGTGGTTGATTTGAGCACTTGAAATGAATGATATACTTGACAAAAAGCAAATGAGACTTGTTGTTGAGAAGCTTTAATTTTATCAATCTTCTAATGAGTTTTCAAATGCAAGCTTCAAGATGGTCATTCAACTAACCTCTAACTTCTAATTCACTAACAATTAACTTTATTTTGTACCTTTATTTTTATGTACCATTTACTTTAGCATTTACATTCTATGTTATTTCTCTTTTGCTCACTTGAGTATTTATCTTTATGTCATTTTATCTTTGCTCATTTGAGCTTTTATTTTCTTTTTGAAGACACTTAATAATCAACTTGAACATTAAAAAAGCTTTAAGGTTACTTGGACTATTTGGTTACTATCCTTGGCATTATGGAGTTGTTGATCTCTCGGGCTTAGGATTAGAAGCCTTGATACTTGGGAACCTTGTTGCTCTATTGTTACTTTATCTGAAGCTCTTGGGGTTTACTCTAAGGCATTGGGTTAATTTTCTTTGTGTGCAAGTTATTCTGATTATATGCTTTGTCTGTGATTGAGAATTCCTATGTATACAGTCGTTACTCTGCCCAATTTTTATGAAGACTTAATTGAGCTAAAGCTTGGTATTTCTCAGAGGTTTAGTATCTTTGCTTGCTTGGTTTTAATCTAAAGGATGAGAATTCTACATTGACTTCTTCATGTCAAGTGTTGGCTTCTTGTTGGTTAGGTCGTTCTTTTCCTTAACTTTTACCTTATGCTTTAGGATAGTCCCTTCATCTCCCCCACCTTTAATTTCAAAAATATTCTCCCTCCTTTTCAAAACTCTTCTTGTTTTTCTAACTTGAATCGCTTCATAATAAATTTGGACTTAAGTCATGCATTTTCAAAATCTTTTCTTAATCAAACATTAAACAACTTAACTGTACTTTGACATCTTTTTGAAAGACTAAAAGTCAATTAACCTCATTCAAACCA